GACGATGAGTCAATTTCATAGGAGGCGAATACTCCACGGACGAATATTCCTAAAAATCCATATAAGATGAATAATTGCCACCCTATACTCCCATTCCTCATAACGATAAAGACGGCCATAAATTGTTTAAACGGGGTCAGGTCGTACGGAGTATGTATTTGTAAGAAAAAGCTAAATGAAGTAATTTCGCTAAGAGTTTTAATGTGATGATGTTAATTAAGCAAGAGCATTTGCATAAGATGCTTCCTTCAAATTTTTAATCGCATTAAACTCGTTTACGCGTAAAGAAGTTTACGTATTAAAAATGAACATAGGAAACGTAATCCAATTATTCATTTCAAGAGGATATCTTCTGCATTTCAACATCGCGTGCAACATTAATCTATTTACTACTCCAGCGTTGTCAGAAAATGTTTAACTTAGTAACGTCGTGACTTCAAACAGCACGAATGTTTCGTACGCTATATTTGAGTTCGAATAAGAATGCTTTAAAGGGAAAGATTATCCCCGTTATGCGGTTCATTTCAACCGTATTCCAGATGATGTTATACCACTTTGCAAAATTTAATTGCTTTGTACAGAAACTTTCCTTTGAAGTCGTAAACTATTCCAATTATATATAAACTATACTTTGTTCCACTGTTATACATATTTGCCAAGTCCATTGTGAGATCTGGTATGAAATAGGACATAAAGGAAGGCAGAATGATGGGGGAATTCAAAAGGAATTTAATATACATTTATGGCAAAATATGTTATACGGCAATCGCTTTTGGGATTACCGAAAACATCCCAAAAATGTTATTTATCAGAAAGCTTTTCATTATTAATCTGTCTATCAGCAACCGAAAATCTAAATACGTCGGATGTGAAATGCTCGGGATTTTTAATCAACATAATGCAAGATGCAACATTCCTTTTCATTAACACGAAATACAATTTATCTTCGAATCCCGATAAATTTTTCAATACACTCCCTCGAGGTGTTAAAAGATTAGAATTTACAGTTGTGAAGTCACATATTAAGTGGATTATGTTGGGGAGAATAGTTAATTTAATGATAAAATCTTGAGGCTGGATTTGTACATTCCCCTTACGTTATCAATTTAATTGCCTCTCCTTATAGATTCTGTCCATACTAATGCAGAAATTTCGTGTTGGATATTGTTAACTTTTTTTTATTGACTTTCGGGTAGGCACAAATTTAATTAATTTCGCTTCCCGAAGTTTCCTGTTTAGTTTAATTATATCAACCCTAAGAGTTCTTCTTTCGTTGGCTACATGCTTACTGAAATGGGTGGCAACGATTTTTTTATATCTCCAATCGTTGCTAGGATTTAATGAATATTAAGATGCCTCGTAGGTACGGCCGAATTTGAGGGTTAGTCTCTTAGCGAGCTCTGCAGTTATAATTTTCAATACTTACTAGGCTAAAAATGAATGCGTTCTACTTGAAAACGAAGCATTTCTACTATCTAAAAAACTTGCATAATGAGTCTCGGAAACCTAAAAACTGTTACCATACAATATACAGAGTGTCCTGCGGACCATACCGGCTAAATGGGTAAATTTGGCTACCTAGACTAAATCCCTATGTGGGCAACTAGAAAAATCGAAAAAGAACATTAAGAGGGATCTCACACGGCAGAGTAGTTTCTAAGAAGATGTAAACCAAAGGACCATGTCTGATTTAGACATATTACCACGGACGCAGGCGGCGTCCCGTTTAAATTAAATATGTCAGCAGCCGTGAATTTATGTTTTTTTGGTAGTAACTTCAGCTTATTATGGAAATCTGTAACGCTAGTCTCGTTAAAGCTAGTAACGTTTGCAATGCTGATAGCTTCCGGCGTCCTTAAGGATCAATTTTTATTTCGGTTCATATATGCTGTGAACCAGTTTCGCCCCGTCGTTTTTAATTTCCCATGATTCTGGGTAATTCATTGCATTCTTTTTTTGCATATTCATAGGCAAGAGTGTTAAACCATAACATCCAGTTTTCTATTTCTGTTGTAATACAATTCGGAGCAAAATTTGCATTTTCAACACTAACTTCACGAGCCTTTTTATACAATTTGCAAGGGTAAGTTTTTTAACATTGTGCTATTGCACTTTTTCTTAGACTTAATTATGGGTACGGTTCTATAGTGAAGCACCAAGTTTTAAGTTTTAGATATTATCATACATCAAAGCAGAGCTGGGCAGAATACTTTCAAAAAGTATTTGAATACTAAATAGTAAATACTTTACACAAATCAAAGGTAATTGAATACTAAATACTTTTACGTCCAGCACAAGCTGGATACTAGATACAGATACATTGAAAAGTATTCAAATACTTTAAAAAATAAGTATTCAAATACTTTAGAATGTATTCGAATACTTTCACTTTCACTCAAATACATTAAAAATTTAAAATAGTATCCTAGATAAAAGGCTTAATACTACTTAAAAAATCAAGTTATACTTTGTATGGGTTTTTTTTATATTTCTATTGTTATAGGTATACAAATTTAAGGGGAGTAAAAGCGTATTATTATTATATTATTATATAGGAGGTACCTACCAGGACCTTTCTTATACCAGTTATATCCTTAAGAATACGTGTACCAGTTTTCAAAGCGATCGTACGTCGTGCACATGATACGTACGCCTTTCTGAAATTAATCCTAGCGATTTTGGAACAGATCCATTTTTGACCATCCGTTTGTCCGTGTGGTCGATAACTCGTTTAGAAACGTGCGATCGCTTTGAAAATTGGTACACATGGTTTTAAGGATATAAGAAAGGTCCCTATTGTTTTTAAGTTACGTAGACTATCGAGTTCTGTATTCAGATGTATCGGATTTTTATATTTGATTTTGTGACAATGGAAACTTTCCCTAAACATTTCTAAATTGTTCTCAAATATTTGAATATCTTAAAAGTACTGCCTTTTTTTGAGGCCGGAAAAAGTGTTTTCCCGAGAAATTTTGGTGCAGTCGATTTTTGGTAAAAAAGGAAGGTTATACACTGCCTTTTTTTGAAGCCCGAAGAAGAAATTGTCTCAGATCGACCCGGAAAAAAAATTTTCTTATAGAATGTGGCCTGTAGAATCCATAATTTCAAACAGTTCCAAGATTGGGCTACTAGTTCAAAAGTTACAGCCCTTTGAATTTTCTTTCGAAATTGGTTTCTAGTCTATAACTTTTGATTGAGAAGTCTGATCGAAAAAGTACGAATTGTTTTGGATTCTACGCACCAAAATTAATAAGAAAAAGTGTTTTCCCGAGAAATTTTGGTGTAGTCGATTTTTGGTAAAAAAGGAAGGTTATACACTGCCTTTTTTTGAGCCCCGAAAAAAAAATTGTCTCAGATCGACCCGGAAAAAAAATTTTCTTATAGAATGTGGCCTGTAGAATCCATAATTTCAAACAGTTCCAAGATTGGGCTACAGTTCAAAAGTTACAGCCCTTTGAATTTTCTTTCGAAATTGGTTTCTAGTCTATAACTTTTGATTGAGAAGTCTGATCGAAAAAGTACGAATTGTTTTGGATTCTACGCACCAAAATTAATAAGAAAAAGTGTTTTCCCGAGAAATTTTGGTGTAGTCGATTTTTGGTAAAAAAGGAAGGTTATACACTGCCTTTTTTTTGGCCCGAAAAAAAAATTGTCTCAGATCGACCCGGAAAAAAAATTTCTTATAGAATGTGGCCTGTAGAATCCATAATTTCAAACAGTTCCAAGATTGGGCTACTAGTTCAAAAGTTACAGCCCTTTGAATTTTCTTTCGAAATTGGTTTCTAGTCTATAACTTTTGATTGAGAAGTCTGATCGAAAAAGTACGAATTGTTTTGGATTCTACGCACCCAAATTAATAAGAAAAAGTGTTTTCCCGAGAAATTTTGGTGTAGTCGATTTTTGGTAAAAAAGGAAGGTTATACACTGCCTTTTTTTGAGCCCCGAAAAAAAAATTGTCTCAGATCGACCCGGAAAAAAATGTTCTTATAGAATGTGGCCTGTAGAATCCATAATTTCAAACAGTTCCAAGATTGGGCTAAGTTCAAAAGTTACAGCCCTTTGAATTTTTTTTCGAAATTGGTTTCTAGTCTATAACTTTTGATTGAGAAGTCTGATCGAAAAAGTACAATTCTACGGACTGTACTGAATGTACGCCCATTTTCATTTGTCGTAACAGCATTTCTGGAAAGAATTATGGAAGGAGTGAATTGAGTAACGGTTTCGGATATGGATGATTATTTTTCTTGACCATGGAAAATTGCGTAGGTAGTTTTACAAACAGAACTTGAGCTTTTCCTCAATTTAACACATTATAACTTATGATATGCTTTGGTTAATTTTATGTCACTTATCAGCGTTTCCTTGAAGTTTTACAAAAATGACGATAAAGTGCAAACGGTGTCTAAATTACATGAAACTACACACCTCTTGTAACTTAACACGATATTCTATGGAAGAATATATTAGAATCCAGTCATTCAGTTTTCGGTTAGGGAGAATCATTCCCCTTTCCAAGTCTATTTCCTTCCTTTGAGGTTGAGAAGCTAGGTGTATACGTTAAATTTTGATTGAAAGGAGATCCGTATATATAAAATTCGTCTAAATTTAGATTGTTATCTAGCATCCGACATTTGAAAAGGAGAGGAGAAATCCGAAGCTAAATATTTATATAAATAAAATTGAAGAAGTAGGTTTTCTGTTTTTTATGTATCATAAAGAAGGTCCGAATTTGCAATTGAAATTTGTTTACTCGTAAGACGTCAACATTTTTATGTTCGTACTTGTCATAAAAAAGTGAAGCTGGAAACATTTCATATTAAATGAAATTTCCTCTTCTAAAATTTCAACATTCGTAAATGTATTTTTATAAAATTCAAAATGAAATAATAAAGGACTGCGCCCTCAGCTCGTGGCTCATGTTGCGAACACTCAAATCTGAATTATGCCGTCATAACCGTCGACGCTTGTTTATTGTGTTTTAATTATGGATTTTATTTTAGCGTTTGGAAATTTGGGCAGCGTGTTAAGTACGCAAGGAAGGGTTGTGGAAGCGGAGCAGGCTTTCCGAAAGGCTTTATTTCATCGACCCAACATGGCGGACGTGCACTACAACCTGTGAGTATATTTTCCTAAACCTTCTTCTCAGTTAATGGCCCTAATTTGATTATAATTGTAGATAGGGCAGTTGCGCCATGAATTTCAAATTAAAAACTAATTAACCGTTTAAAAGTGTTTTAAACATTAAATTCCCCCATTTTCAGCAATCTAACTGAGGTAAAGTTACAAATTGTATCGAAACGGGCGTTGTCTTTAATTACGAATTGAACATAAAAATATTTAATATTTTGACCGTCCTTTCGCGTATATAAAGTTGTAAAAGCGGCACACGTGTATTTTTATGCATTTACTTATACGGTATCGCGTGTATCCAGATTTTATAGCTGAACGTTTTAAAGGCATAAAAATTTTTATTTTCTTGTACGTCCCCAGTCAGATCTCACAATCCTGCACAGAACTCATACGAGTTTAAATTAAAAATTCCTGCTCTTTTGAATGTATTGCCGTTATTGCTGGAAGCTTAAAATGGGACTTTCGACGTGTTCGTGCGGTTTATTTTGGCATTACAGTTTTTTTTAAGCACCGAAAAATCTGTTTGCGTTTCCTATTTATTGCGTACGTAAATCCGTTGATTAGGTACGAATGTGTGAGTTTTATTCAATTTTAACCGTTTACAGATTTTGGTCCCGCGATAAAGTTCTCTTTTATGTGCTTCCCTTTCGACTATTGAAAGCAATCAATAAGTATCATTGGTCAAATGCATGCTTACCATTGTAGAAATAGAGGGTTTATATCTGCACACCATTTTATGCTCCACTTATTCATGCAGTAGGTACGTGAATATCCGATGAGCATCCTTCGATGCCTCGTTCTTATATGCGGTGAGGCAGTTTCTATGAGGTTTCTGCTTTTATGTTTGTATCTCTTTGTGGTTTGTTAAGAGACTAAAAACCTCTGCAGTTCACAGTTTCTTTATGAAATCCCGTCCATATGTCCGAGACTGTTAACACGACGAATCGAGAACGGAAGGATTAATGAATGGGATCGTCCATTAAGTTTTCAAATGTAGAAACTCATTATTTAGGTGCCCAAGATGCCAATATAACAAGGAGAATATTGACAAGAAATATCAAATTCGAAAATATAAATGATCATGCAGAAAGTGACTCCACTTAATCAAAAAAAATCCAGGAAATTTTATACCTTCCTTTTAGCTTACACATTATATTTTCTCCGGTGATTCCTGAAAAACCATAGAAGAATCCGGTTTTAAAATCAAACACAACAATTTTATCGTTTGTAGCAATTGGTAACGCTATAAACACTGTAAACACATCTTGTAGTGACGTTCCATTTGTGATTGGATTAAATGTTTCAGTATCATTAACTTTAACTTTGAAGATTTCATTATTTTAAGCATTTTTTTTTAATTTCCCACCCCCTTTGCTTCAAAACCTGTTTATTGCACTATAATTGTTGCGGTTTCACCCTATTTCCCAAGATTTTTAATTTTGCACTTGTTTTGTCCGTCTGTCCGCTTGTTCCTCGTCTGATTCGAGAACAAAAAGACAGCGATGTCAAACCTTCGCCAATCGATTTCTACGAGGGCAAGGATCATTGCTTTTGAATATGAGCCGGATGAAAAGTCGTGTCTCCGAGTGCGAGATGAATGTAAAAAAATTCCCGTCGTATGTGATTCTGATGCGTATCTTGTTATTTTATTCCACTTATTATATTACAGAAGAAACGTAGGTTGTGAAACGATGTAGTATGAATACTTTGAACCAAGAATCAAATGTGGTATCACTCTCTGACTGATTTTTTCTACTTGTATCTACTCATCATTCACACGTTTGCTAAAATAAATGTAATTAAGATCTATAGAAGTGCACGTTTTTCATACGTTTAAACGCACATGCACGTAAACACCTATTCTGAAATATAAGTGCCTACATATTTTAAAGAATTTGGGCCGTAAAAAACACAACTCATTAAAAAGGTGAAACACGAGGAACAAAGGCCCCACAAAAAAAATTCTCGCGCAATATTTACGTGGCATAATTAGGAATATTACTCCAAAAACCGTTGAAAATGTACAGCAGGAATTTATTGATCGTTGGATGTACAGCAGAACTGTTAATGGCTGACAATTCCAGCATTTGCAAAAATATTGAGATTTTAACTACAATTTATAAGTAGGTTTAGTTACAATAAAATGTGATTTTAATATTTTAACGTAAATATTCCGTGAACAGTTGAATCAGATTTCTGTAAAATCCCAATACCTATGTAACGGGTGGAGTAATGGCCGGTCGAAATTTTGCAAATTTTTTTCGGATATCGATTTGGATTTGTACTAAAATTGGATAAACCTTTCTTCCTTTTGGGGATAAAACTTTTTTCGCTTTGTAACTATTGTAGTATGACATCATGTTGGGTTCATTGTATTAAACTTCCTTGTGCCGCGATTCGCAATAAATGGGATCACAGAAAATTCTCAGTGCAAAACAGGATGCAGATAACGAATAAATATCGGATTTCTTTAGATAAGCTTTTTATCGTTGAGTCACCAGCCAAGCTTGGGAAAGCTGGTTTTGCAAACGCTGAAAAAATTAGTTGATAAGTATTCCCCAGTTAATTGGTTTAGATGGAGGCCATTGTATGAGAAGTACCAGTAATAAAAAAGATCAGCCATTTTGCAACGATTAAGGGGCGTGAATCTGTTAGGAGAGAGTTAAGAGGAAAAAATTTAAAAAAAAAGATTGGTACTGCATAGCCGGGCCGAAGAGATCGTAAATTTTAAATCGCGTGCATTAAGCACCAAATAAGTGATTCCGTTTAAGTGACGGTCGATATTAGTCCGAGTTTAAGTACAGTTTTGCACCATTAGTTAAAACGTGAAATTTCCATTGGGTAAATTTCACGCCCGAAGAGAAAAAGTAAATCGCGGAATCTTAGTTAAAAATTTGTCAAGCGTATTGTGCTAGGAAATCATCCACGTAGTGTTGAAATTAAAATTAGACGTGGACATTACGTATCAAATATAAAGCGCTAAGTAAATTCGAGCGATAATAGCTGTGTGATATGAACCATTGTTCTTAAAGGAAAATAATACGAGCGCATTTTTGGCATCTATCCGACGGAACAAATTTGAACGTTTCACCCATTTGCCGTTGTGTTAAAATTTACTATTGTGCCTCCTTGGAATATAACCATCAAAGTTTTTTAAGTGTGGATAGCCGTTTTCATCAAAGTAATGTGCTTTAAAAGTTCAATGTAATAGTTTGTTATGAAAAAACTTCTTTAAATCGACCAAAAAATCAGGCAAATTAATTCACGAACTTACGCAAAATAAGGTGTTTACATCAATAAAATTTCACTGTGGGATTATACCTACAAAACTACATGTTTTTGGAAAATCTCGTCTACCTTCTACAAGGAAAATAACCTACTCAACAGCGAGCCAAGGATTTTTCAACTGTAATCATCAGCTATATAAAAAAGAAAAAAAAGAAAAACAATCGACGACGTAAAGTTGGCATTCCAAAAGTTGCAGTCTACCCCATCCATCAATCAACTAGCATGTAAAGGGCTTCCCAATCTTCATCGAAGTCCTGGATTTTTAAAGGTTAGTCTATTTTGAATATTTTCATTGTAATAAAAATAAAGTCAATTTGTGTGTATTTATATGTTTTATGATATGTTTTAATCGATTGTTTATTGAATCAATTTCCTTAAAGAAGGTAATTAATTATATTTGAAATAGTGGAATTTGTAAGGAAAATTCAGTATAAAAAAAAAATAATATTCACCTCTTCAAGGGAAAGAACATATTGTGAGTTGGCCAACAGAACTAATAATATTCAAATTTTTTGATAGCTTAATAAGGTTTTAGTCATAGTTCCCAATTTTTATAATATTGATTGTAAAGATCGCAATTTTCTGGAATGCATTGGATTTTGCATTAAAATAAATGAATGAAATTATGGCCATTGAGTTGATGATTTTTCAACGAGAAGTTAGATGAGAAGTAGAGTAATTAACACCAGTAAAAAGTGAATTAGATACCTGATTTTTCGATGGAAGTAAGACAGTAGAAATTTTGTATGTAAGTATTTGAGCTAGTCGGAAGCGAGGTAAAGATTTTGTGATTTTATTAAGAATTAGCGAATTTTGGTGAGATAAACTATCCCAAAGGGTTGATGAGGTGAGAGAGGAGAGAAGGGAGAAGCGGGTACGTGTACCTGAGGTGGTTGTGTTTATCCGTAAAAAGAAAGCACCGCCACACCTACTACCTATTTAAGGAAAGAATATTTTTTCTGTCACGCCTTTGGGGGCACTCTGCATAGTAATTACCCACATTTTGTGACTTCTAATTTTTCTTTTTTACCGATCTTCTTATTTATCTTTAATTCTATATTTATTTGATCGAATTTCTTTCCCATTCCGCTTCAGTCTTTCATTTACTTCTCCTAATTTGTCTAATCTTTGGGAATTTGTTCCACACTTGCTGATACGTTTTAACTGTCGACTTTTATTCGGTGATTACTATTTGCTTACTCACTCTCCTCGCATTTCAAGGCTGCCAATGAAATTTCGGTGTGGAGCCGCATCTCAAATAGTGATTTTAGTGTCACTAATGTATGATGTGTCGATATCCACTACAAATTTTGTATGTAAATAGAATATGAAAGCCGATATTGAACCACCAAGGCACTTTTAATCATAGTGTATTATTACAACCTCCAATTTTGTTCAACTTTGAATTTAATTAAATTCGAAAGAAACGACGCTGTAACATTTTTTCGCGTCCTTCATATCTTTTCATCTCGTATTTCCTAGCCACAGATCAAAGGGAACCATTTCTGCCATTACGGCTGATGGAAACAATCTTGCTTCAGTTACGTACAGTCGAAAAAACAAGATACTACGTTTCTCTGATTTTCGAAATCTTTTCATCGAAGTAAATTAGAAATTTACTTCTAATGCAATATAAATGGAAGGCATTGTAAAGTTTAACGTTTCGAAAAGTAGTAAATAATAGTAGTTACACATAA